ACGCCGAAAGTCTAACTCGGACTGAATGGTCCTAGCTTGGTTGTCTCCTTTTAAGCTGAATGCATTGGGGCAAAGTCGCAAATGGGGAGGTGTTTGGGGTTTTAGATCAACCAACAAGTAACCATATGGTTTCTGGATAGCCCTTTGAAACGGCTCCATGAAACGGTCTGTGTTACCTGGATACATTTGCCTCGCCAAAGTCATGATGGGTTGTTGATCGATAGGGTTGTTGAACAGAAGCAGATAATGGCAGTTTCTTCGTTGTGTGGGATCCTTACTGAAATACAAATTCTGGTTCAAGGCTATCACTGAGAGATTACGATGATGACTTCCTTCCGTAAACAGATCTGTAATGCGTGGATCTTTGCTCGCTGTCGACATTAAGTCGTCGAGGATCACCACATTCACCACATGGGGGTCCAAAACGCATCCTTTTCGAGATCAGAAGGAATGCCTTGATGAAATTCCACATAGGGATAAACATGGGTTTGAATGGTGTTATACAAGGGCTGCCATCGGTTGTAGAGCCAAATAATACGTTCAGGATAAGGTTTAATGTTCATGCGTTCTAGAATCTGTTTCACTAAGTACGTTTTCCCACAGGAGGTGGGCCCTGAGACAATCATGGTGAAGGGGTGTATCAGTCTACATTCTTCCAAAGCACCCACATGTGGTTGCACTGGTTGCATCATAGGTGGTGGTGGTGGTGGTGGTGCTCGTGGTGGTGGTGGTGGTGGTGGTGGTGGCGGTTGTGGTTGTGCTCGTGGTGGTGGTGGTGGTGGCTGCATTGCTCGTCTGTGTTGATTCCTGAGATGTCTAAGCATGGCATCCCTTCTGGAAAACGTCTGATAGCACACGGGACACGTTGCTGACTGCATGGTGGTCCGAGTCTAAATGGCAAAGAACCTTTCTACTAGCTGCTTTTATCTAAAAACACGTCTTCCTTTTCTTTGTGCGACTCTGGGAGGAAGTCATTATTTTGGCTTCAGTTTCCCCGTTCTCCTGCATCTGAATACGTGCTCTGGCCTGTTGAACGACTTGTTGGGTTGGAGACGTGAGAGCAAACTTTTCTGTAGAAGGGGTTAGGTCTATCTTTACCCCTTGTTTCTCATAATAGATCACATAATCATCCACGTTAGTAAAGGGATTGGGATATCCTTTAGCCTGCAAATAGTAATATTTGGTCCATTTCTTAGGATCGTCCAAATAGGGTCTCCAGTATCGTCTGTTCATTATCTTGTTCAGAATGAATACTGACTCTCACACAGAGGTTTCAGATGAAGTGTCACTATCACGGGTCCACGGCTAAATGAAGCTAAATCACCGTTTCTGTCCTTTATATAGATGTCTGCTAGCCCTAATTCTAAAAACATGTTGTTAGCAGAGCGTGGTTTCGATCCACGGTCCTCTGGGTTATGAGCCCAGTGCGCTTCCACTGTGCCACTCTGCTCTCCCTTCACCTACCTTTTGTTAGGACTTTTATACACCACATCAACCAATGACAACCAAAATTGATTTATTCTCAAATAGTCACAAATACACACAGTATTGTACAATGAGCATCGCATTGAAGTCTGAATGACATGGGGACTGTTCGGGGGCCTTATATTGCCCACTTGAGTCTAAAAATACCCCTGGGAAAGTGGTTTATCCCAAGGTCAACTCAGTACAAGGTCATTGACACCCCTGTGAAAATGAGGTCAGCCAGGTGTTCGATGATGACGTCATAAAATCAAAATGGCGGATTTAGGGCCATTCCAGCCTGTGTACAACAAGCAGAGGAGAGAGGAGAGGAGAGAGAGAGAGGAGTTGAGTTTGGGCGCACACTTAATTTTCACCCGTTTTCAATACTCATCTAATAAGTTTTCAGGACAAACGTGGGGGTGCCACACACACCCCACACACACCCTATGGATCCGCCTATGTGTTATGGGTGACGCGTGTGAAGCTCATTTCTAGTGGAAGCAGCGGCGTAAAACCGATGTACTCACACTACCATTCACATTAACTCTCTTATCTTCGGGGCGGTAGGGTAGCCTAGTGGTTAAAGCGTTCGCTCGTCACCCGGGTTCGATTCCCCACATGGGTACAATGTGTGAAGCTAATCTCTGGTGTCCCCCGCTGTGATATTTGCTCACACGAAACTAGAGTTTATCTTTGCTCAAGTGATAGGTGTATAATGTCGGTGTGGAGTCTCTACTTGTTGGACAGTTAACCTGCAGATGCCCACCATTTGAAAACGAAAATAAGAATGTGAAACGTATAAAGAAACATGCAATAATCATACATTCTTCAGGTGGCATAGAGTTTTCATATTGTGACGTCCTGACTATTTATCCTCGTTATATTTTATGCATTTAATGATGAAATATTGTGCTCGTCTGAAAATATCGAATTTATATCCCACTTTAAACTGAAGTTGCGACACTCAGCTAGTATCGTATTGCCAGGTCACAGAGTAAGATGATCACGTTATTTGGCATGGCAAGCCAAATACACACGATGCAGTGTTTGCAACAGTTCAGCATTGTGACGTCATATTGCTGCAACATTCCAGTGAGTGAGTGAGTGAGTGAGTTTAGTTTTTATGAAGCGCTCAGCAATATTACAGCTATATGGTGGCGGTATGTAAATAATCGAGTCTGAACCAGACAATCCAGGGATCAACAGCATGAACATCGATCTACGCAATTGGGATACGATGAGTGTCAATCCAGTCAGCGAGCCTGACCACCCGATCCCGTTAGTCGCCTCTTACGACAAGCGTGGGTTACTGAAGATCAATATTCTGACCCGGACCTTCGCGGGTAACATTCCAGTGATTCTATCTGTAGGGTATGATGGAAATAAAGGAGATGCTAAGTTTGTGTGTGTAAAAGTCACATATTTTTAAGTCAGTAAATCACTTCCCCAATAAAATCGGCTCAGTCTGAACGCTTGTAAGCTGTCCGGCAGCATCAACGTTCCCAACAACGTAGACGGCGCGATACAAGCATCATTACTGACGCAATGTGTAATGGCCACTGAGTCAGTCATTACTGGCAGCAAGTTGAATCTTTTAGCTGCTCAACATCATTCTCCTCTTCATTGCAGCATTCAAAGATGAAGTAGAAACCTGCTTACACATCCAGGTGGGGACCATACTGCGATGACAAAACAATCATAGATTCGAATCATTAGCTCACTCAAAATACAAGACTTGTGAAACTTGATTATTAGATAAAATATTTTATCCCTCTGTGACGTCACATTGTGCCCCCAACAAAAGACTTAACTGTTACTTGGTTCCTTCTCTGTGGGGTTCCGATTTGCCAGTCAGTCCTGAGTAACGTCAGTTTTATCTTTTGAGAGGGAAAATATATTTCAACGAAGTGGCCACAAAATATATATTCGCTTTTAAAGACGCTTTTATAATAATTAATTATTACTTTCAATAAAAGTGGTGAGTTACACTTTAGTGTCCGTTGCAAATACCTTCTCTACACATGAAAGACGGGAAATCATGTCTCTTTTTTATTTATAGTGTTATGCAACTATTTTTGTCAAACATAAGTGGTTTGGCCTTTTTAACAAGTATGAACAATCCTTGAAATGTAAATTATTCATCTGGAAAGAATAAAGGCATCAAATGGTTCACGCTGTTTTCAGAGACTCGTTATCAAAATATCTGCAGTTCATCTAACACGTCGGTACACGTGACAATAGAAATATTTACTTTGAATTGCAATCGTCAGCACCAATATGATCTTTCCGTAAAGACTTGGTCCAGGCTGGCATGAATTGGTCACAAATGCATTGCGAAGCACATATCCAACGACATATTTTAAGAGCGCTTCTATCACCATTTCAAAATGATGTCCGCTTCACAAAGAAAATGTGAAAACAGTCCCTAAAATGCCGTCTAATTTACATTTCTTTCGTTTCTTATGTGAGTGAATGGACATTTTGACAATAAAAATGGAATATTTATGAATATTTAAAATCGCTACAAGTCGCATCACTGGGAAGTACTAAACAAAGTTATGTCCCTCTACTCGCATCGTATTCTACTAAATGAAGTATTTTCTTAACAACTTATAACTTTATTATAAAATTAGAGTTTATAGAATCAAAGAAATCATCTTTACATATATAAAAACGATTATATTAAAACAGCTATTTTGTAGCATTATCCCGTGAATTAATTGGATTTTTACGTATAACATTCTGTAAATGTTATGAAATAATTAGTACACACCAAATAGTTTTATACCATATTGTATGATATACAGAGTCGCAATATTACGCACTTTGATAACACTGTCATTGGACTGAACTGAATGAAAAAAAACATGATTCTACACCACCAATGTTCATACACGCCTTGTCGTTAAGAAGGGATTGGGATGTATATCAAGTATAACTAGGGAAGACACTGTAATGGTAAGTATGTTTGTGAGTCACTTAAACTGAAAAATACATACAGTAGAACACGGATATAGCGAACAAACGGATATAGCGAACAAATCTAAAAGTCCCGTCAACAGTCCTTTACAATATCATTAAAATTATACGCGAATAACGAACTCGTGAGTAGCGAATTAACGGCTATAGCGAACTGATTTACTACCCCCAAGCCCAACTAACGACGTGATTAGCGAACTCACTCAGTGTCAGCTCAGTGTTAGCTCAGCCACTTAGCGGTATACATCAACCTTGTTGGCGGCGAATCAACATTGTTCGATGGTCATTAACGTGTCTGTGATGCAGTCGACAAAATGAAGTCTGCAAGACGTGGTGTGCAGAGCAAAATTGTGGACTTTGTTAATCGTAATTAAGTTATATACATGTATTGTTGAGATTGTTGTGATTGTTAAACATGTTCTAGCTGTAGTGATCAGTGCTTCCGCACTCGTACATCGGGTTTCATCGGATTGGCCATCCAGTGATACTCGCATGTTTCCGGGTGTGATCGGGGCACGTGATCAACTTACCCGCCAAATCTGACAGATGACAGATCGAGACCACCCCAGATAGCATTCCGACGTTGGCCCAACGTTGGCAATGGTTGGCAACGTCGCGGTCGGATTTCATACGTTGGCCCGACGTTGGCCCAACATCGGGGAAGCCTCGCGGATATTTTATTAAAGGGACGCTACTCCAAACTGTTAGCTTTTCCCAGAGGGCGCTCACATTCTTCGAGCAGACGACGCGACATGATCACAAGCTTGGACATCGGAGTACAGGTTTCCTCGAATATATAGCGGTAAGTGTTTCATTTTGTGTTTTTTATTATGTTCAACTCTATTTCAGAACTGTGCCCACCGAAAAACAGTCATGGTTCATTCAGAAATACCAATGTGAATGATTATTTACTTGAAATTAAATGACCACATCGCGTTTCTCGGCTAAGGAAATTCATGACTGAAACCCAATAAGTACATGTATGTGATCACACTGGTGGCTTTGAAAATGCAGCATTCCAGCATCAAAAGAAAATCGAGCTTGTCAGTATCAATTAGTTCGTTGTGATCGAGAGTGCATATAAGTTTAAAGTTACAAGTCGGCGAGTGACCCTCGCCTGCTCGCTGTATTGCGCCGGAGATCATGAGCCGTCCATCCACCTACATGACAACCGAATGATCCCGTATGTGGCATTTGTTATATGACGGTTGATTGTGGCAACAGTAAACAATATTACAGTTATAGTACCAGTCGTCCATACACTCGTCGTGCGGAGCTTCACTGGTGTAAGCGAATCGCGAGTTCAGTTTTCGATCACTGTCTGGGCGTGTACAGACTCGTGCCGGTTATATTCGGACACTTCACGTAATTTCTATAAGCTAACATGGTATTTCAGTACAGCATAAATAATTTTCATGAAGTGAGTTTAGGATGGATCCTTGTAAAATGTGACACCCAGACAGGCAAATGTGAAATACGCTTGGCTCAGCCCACATAATTTTAGTTCAATTTTCCGACCACTATTTAAATAATTGTTGCCAATGCCATTCGATAAATAAGCAGCCGAAATTATGTGATCGTAGGTAAGATTATTCCTCACGAATGTGCAAAATTTGACTAGCATCTTACCAAAATTAAATCAATGAAAATTATTTATGCTAAACTGAATTAACACGTATGAAACAAAATCGCTTCAGTATGCAAATATATATACATGTAGTTGATACGACTGCATTGTTTTTTCGACTTTTCTGATATCATCAAAGCTATGCTATTTTACAAATTTACATTTTTTATTTTGCATTTATTCTATGTTTGAGTTACCAGTTTTAATAGAATGTAAGATACAATAGAAAGGTAAATTCACTACTTTACAGTAATCACCATATCTACTTAAACTGACACCAGCTACATCATTCTTTTCAGAAATGGGGTTAATCTAGATCTATATTGTTAAAGTAAGAAAGTCATAGCTTGTGGTTTCTGTGCAGGTGATGTTTACAGCTTGTGGCAGCATATTCACGTGAAGTACAGAACATGAAGGAGTGGTGATTCCAACTGATGTACCCATACAAAAGGTATGTATAATGCAGAAAAAATGGAAACATCTTCCAGAATGAAAATATCTAAAAAAAACCTTAATTTTAAAACTTGATATATCCAAATCATTTAAGTAATTTTCTAATGTGATTCAGTGACACCAGATATCCATTGATGTTTTAAAAAGTAGCCAATGTTTGTTTACATCAATAATAGATGTCTTGTGAAGTCATTAGATGTTTATGTCATTTATTTTTATTCAGAGGCCAAGGCACAAGCATAGACCTTGTATACAGATGAAGATCTCCTGTGATTATTTCTTTCTCCTCCTCATCTGATAACTGAAAATATAAGGATGCCCTGCCACTCAGTCCAAGTCCTGACTTGTAATTTAAGAAATAAATTAAGATCATCTCAACCAGAATTATCTTTTGTTCATTTTGTTGCTGTCATCATCAAACTTTTAACTGATCAAGAAAATGGATTGTGGGGCATCAGATGCAGAGACTATTTTGCTGCTCTCACTCTTGCCCTTGGTGTTAAATGTCTGGGGTAAGGCCAAGAAAAATTTAATGTTTCAAATCATAGTGTTTGGATTTTTTTCCAGGGCCTGTTGCCTAATGGTTATCTATTTAAAAATCAACTATTTTTTAATATCGTTTATGATATATATAGACTTGAAAGTTGTTTTGAAATATGCATAATATTTTAACTAATTGTATTCAGAAACAATTAAAAATTTTCTTGAGCCTACATAAAGCTGTCCAGTGGTGTCCAGCAAAGATAGAGAGAGTGAATTCAACTTGAAGAATGTATTGCTTGCGATGTGATAGTATTGCGAGACTTGTACAAACATTTCAGGGTAGGTAAGAGGTATTGAGGAATGAAACAGGCGTTGATCCAACATTGGGTAGCGTTTGTTTATAACGATTATTCAGCGTTGGTCCGGCCGATCACGCCTACGTTGGAATAGCGTCAGAATGCTATCTGGGCAGACACTGACGAGAACAGACGCAAATTGCAGTACATTCAGAACGCTTGATCTCCCCATCATCTACGCTTACGAAGCAAGGTAAGTGCCTTTCCCTAGCACTAGGCTTTCACAACATAGCTAATGTCTGTGAATGATAAATCTCTACAATCCAAGATGGCGGTCAAATGTGAATAACGCACACCGGATATAGCGAACTAAATTTCGTGGTCCGTTGGAGTTCGTTATATCCGTGTTCTACTGTACCTGTCAAAAAAGTTCGGCTGCTTCTCCGTTCCGATAAATGACGAGCACGGTTACTGTCCTTGCATCAGGGACATGTGAGGCATCTTCTGATGTTGTCTCTGGTGGATAAACTTTTCGCCTGTATCATGTCTATAATATTATTATAGATGACACTGTGTAGATCTTCTTGGCTGGATAAGTTATTTATGTTTATCACTACACACGGAGGTGTGTGGGAGAGGATTATCTCAGTGTTGATCAGTCGACTTACATTACTGAAATCATTTGATAATGTAGGTGTAATGTGAAATTGTCATCGTGGTATTTTGAAACTAATGAAGAATCCTTGATGAATATTCCGTGTGGTTATTTGGATCATACCTGTCAACATGTCTCATGAGTACAAATAACAATTAGTCAGCTACTGTTGATTTTGAGTAAAGGAAATATGGGTGAAGAAGCTGCTTCTGTTTTCAGAAGTACCCTCTAGTTTATTAATATCTGCATCTCTGTATCGCAGTAGGTAGAGCATCTGTTTGGTGTACAGAACATAAATTACCAAACTATGTAAAAGGATGGTTAACGTTGCCCTACATGGAACACAGCATCAAAGTAATACAGCAACTACAGGTGGCTTAAGTCAGTATACAGTATATGAGTGGGGTATTCATGTTAAAATGTGGCATGGTATACCAGTGGGTTAGGCCAGACCAATTTTATTTCTTGTTTTACGGATCCGCTGGTCGTATTGTTTCTAGAATAAAGAAATATAATTAATCTTCCCAGCTCAAATAATAAAATCCTAATGTTTTTATTGGCCAAAAATGTAAACTTACAAGAAAAAGATTTTTTGATTGTTTTTTCCCCCATATACATATAAATTGCCAGAAGTAAAATACTTTTAATATTTAGAAGGAATATTACTTTGACTTGGGATTTTATTTTCATTTTTTTTCCCTCCTGCCTTTAGGTTTTCTGAGGACAAAAATCCGTAAAACAAGAAATAAAATTGGTCTGGCCTTAGCACTGAAAACAGCATAGGTCTAGACATGTACATTAGCTGCCACACTCATGCATGCCTTTCACTGTATAAGTGTAATTATATGCCTTGTAACCAAGATAACATTAGCTTTGTTCTGATACTAGTGTCACTGTTCTTGTCCACAGTTGTACCTCTGATGTGGTTGTGTATTGTGACAGACCAGCAACATGTTAGAGGCTCTGGCTGCATGGGTGCTCAACACCTATGTAGGGGAGTATGTGGAGAACCTCAACACAGACCAGCTGTCCATAGCTCTGCTGCAAGGTGAGATATCCAACACTCACATGCTGTAGATAACGGGCTCAGACGTGCAGTTGTCCATGGTGCCTCTGGGCAGTCTTGTGTCCCTAATTCATGCTTGGTGTGTCAGAAATCTGTGATCATGAGTTGTGTCCCCTAGTTTTCACCTGAATCTGATGATGGCTTGAATTCCAGGGCCCGATTTCTCGAAACAAACTTAAGTCTGAGTTTTGACTTAAGTTAGAGTTTTTACTCAAATTTGAGAAAAGGCAGGGAAATGCATTTCCCAGAATGAACTGAAATCTATATTAAATTCAACCATAGTAGACAATATGAGTTTGGTAGATAGATTACTTAAGTTGTTTGGGCTTTTTTATTTTATTTCAGTTTGAAATTTGAGTAAAAACTTAAGTTTGTTTCGAGAAATCGGGGCCAAATCTTCCTTGATTATGATTCTTGGTTTGTCAACCCATGCTATTGGGTTACATGAAAGTGGTAAACATCTGGATTTTCCTTTACTTATATTATTGCTTCCACTCTTATATTGACACACCAAGGGCAGTGGGGGAGCCTAGTACTTAAAGCTTTCGCTTGTCACACCAAAGACCTGGGTTCGATTCCCCACATGGGTACAATGTGTGAAGCCCTTTTTTTTCTGTGTCCCCCGTCATTATATTGCTACAATATTGCTAACAGCAGCATAAAACTGAATTGAATGCATTGCACAGGAAGAACTTTACGAAAGATACTTTTAATAGTTTTTTTAAGAGCATGTACTTGTTTTCATTTAATAGTGGTAATATGTCTACTTCTTGTTAACATTGTAGGAACTGTTGAACTTGAGAATTTGCCTTTGAAAAAAGATGCCTTGAAAAGCCTTGACATTCCTTTGGAAGTAAAATCAGGTAGGTTTGGTTCTCTGTGCAGATATTATTTGCTTTGGAAATGGTCAAAATATTTTATATCTGCAGACCATATTAACAGAGTAAATAAGTACTGTCCTTGCAGACAGTGTTGAGTTATCATGCACCCATGCCTCAACAACCACAGCCACTGACAACCAGGACAGTGAGTAGCTGTTGGCCCACACTAGTTGCCTTGTCTGTCCTGGTTCAGTTGTAGGAGCTGTATTTGAGAAGACATCCTTTTGTGTGTGTATACAAATTACAGTGTACAACTTGACTACTATTCATGTTTCACATCAGTTCATATTCTTGGACATGGTATGATTGCCATGCAGAATATCCTCCAAATAGTTTTCAATTTGGTAATGATGCATGATGTTCAGTTTGAGTGAGTTAGATTTATAGCCATATCATATAGCTTTCTATGTGCACTGCTCTATGAATGGCTTCCGTGAAGGAAGTATGTTTGTGAAGAAGTTATTGCTGTCCAAGGTTGAGACTCATGTGACACTTGACCCCCAGGTTTTCCTCCTGGTTTATTATGTTTAATCTAATCCAGTAGTTTGCTAGATGGAAGAAGTCAGCTAAGAGAAGAGGGCTGATTACCGTCATACATGCAATGGCTTTGGTCTTGTTAGTGTTAGATGTATACCACTATTGAAATCAAACTGAGATTGTATCTCTGCCAACCTCATTGAAATCAGGTATTCTATTCCGATATGATAACGATGGATGTCAAGATGTGACGACATAGCCACAGAAGCTCACATCAGGTGAACGTCGGAACACTGAGGTCAATGTAGGATGTGTGGTTCTTGGTGCTAGTCACATGTCAACTGTCTAAGATAATTTCACTTAAATTTCTTACCACCGTGATTTGTAATATTATCTGTGGCAAAGAAAACTCCCCCTGAACAATAAGTACACAGTTTAGTTGTAGGTGTCACAAAGGTTATAGACAGTAGTCCTGTTACAATTCACTTGCGTATTCAATGAATCGATCAGTATCCCTTCATGTAATCAACTCATTACTCTTGTAGTATCAAATATTTGCGAATATGTGCTATAGACTTTTAACTTTGAACTAGTATGTTGTGAATTTAAGAGAGATACTTAAAATGGTATATATATCCAAGCCGTCTAGTGACATTGCCAAGGCCCCTTAGGGCCATTAGGCTGTAAGCAACATTGTTTGCGATGTGTTGCTCTTTTGCTTTACAGAAATCACTGAACTGTTTCAACCTAAAGAATTACATGATATGTTTGGTATTTTGGTTCCTTGATATTAAACAAAGTATTCATTAATAAATATTTTTATTATCCATATGGTGAAACATAACCAGTGTCATATATATCATATCACTTTTGCCTAGCAACCACTATGTCTGTATTTCGTTGTCTGTGACGTCATTAAACAATGCAACTTGACGTCAATTAACAGGGCTGTCACACTTGCTTACCGTGTGTTACTGCACAAATGTACATGAATAAAATGGACAATAAAGAAATTATTACACTCGACTCATACGACTTATACGAAACTTGTGCAAAATTATGTAGTGCCCAAGCTCTACCTCGGGCAACAAAATTTCACACTGGTTTCATGTAAGTGGTATGCCACACTACCTTGTGTAATGATCCCTGTGTTTTGTTGCTATGTATTTGTAAGACACATGGTATTTGTCTCACAGTGTATTCATTCCAGCCCTTATAGGCAACAGTATTTATCATGTTTAGTATCCATAGCAATGTAACATGATGAAATAACATGGCATTATTTTGTCCCATTTGGATTTCCTCAAATCTGTGTTGTTGAGATGCAGAAATCGGATATGGTGTGTGTGAATAGTTTTGCAAGTTGATGTTTTCAAGATGCCATCATCTAGTCACTATGGTAAGTGCCCTAAGAGCTCATCGTTGATTCAGTGCTTTCTGTTTGTTAAGAGCTAGATCATCATTAAATAGGTTATCATGGTTATATCACACAGTATGAAAGCTACAATAGTTTAGATATAGAAAAG